ATGACCTGTGTGTCAGGTGCTTGTCTGCCCAGCACCTGTTTTGTGGTTGTGGGGATTTGAACCTGGGTCTCTGGGGTAGAAGATCTGAGGCATTGCCTTTCAGCCACAAGGAGGACTTGCCTTTGAATTGCAGATTTCTATTCAGCAGCCTTTCTCTGGACTCTCTAGCTACACCTGCTCGGAGGGGGCGGGTACTGCTGCCTTTGCCTCTAGATAGGCAGAGCCAGCTGTCACTCACGCAGCTGGGCGGATCCAGACATAATTGTCGGGATCCGTTTCAGCTGTGGCGTCTCAGTATACCGGAAGCTGTAGCTCGTGGTATACTGAGCTTTTGGTGACGGGAGGACGCTAGTTTGTGTCCTCCCGTTACCCTTAGGAGAACTATGGGGGAAAGCCCATAGTTCTCCTTTAAGTTGCTTTGCTAAAAAACACTTCTTGGGAATTTGGAAACACAAACTGAATTGCCTTTTTTTGCCTTTGTAGCACTGGTTTAGAAACCCATATAAATGGAAAAGCAAAGCAATTAAACTTACCGCAAAGTAATAGCACGAGCCACAGGGTCATTACTATGTATGACAGAGAAGATTCTCTTGACAAATTCATCCACATTGAGGATCTTCTCCAGATGCTTCTCGCTCTGCTGTGTCACTTTCAGCACGCACAGCCGGAGAAAATTATTTCTGCAAAAGAGGCATTTGGTTGATTCATCTTCATAACCAAAGAGGTGCAAACAAAAGTTCCATCTCATTTTGTAAGACAAGCCAACTTTCAATTCAAATCAAAAAATACCAACAGCACACCAATACAAAGACAATTAATGACTTTTTTTTTAAAGTTGAACTCTAGGCAGATAAAAATAACACAGGTGAACGCAGCTCTGTAATAATAAATTTTTCTGACTAATGCCTATAAATGGAAGCAGTTAAAAGGCATAGTACAGCTTCAATAATAATAATAATAATAATAAATGTGCACACATTCATTTAAAAAAAAAAAATTGAATTTATATTTTTTGCATTTGGGCCTGCAAAGCATTGCAACTGTGATCAGTGGCTCCTGCAGATTCTTTCTCCCAGCCACTGTCCATATCGAGGTGCAGACTTTCAGCTAAGGAATGGGAGGAAGTATGGTGACATCACTGCACTTGTACTCCACAGAAAACTACAAATCCCTCTACTGCGTTGGCAGACAGGACTTGCAGTCTCATCATTCACATACAGTGTCCTGTCAAATGGGGGGGGGGCAATACCCACAGCTGCTACAAATAATGACAGGAGCCTGTGGGGAGAAGTACAAAGTGATTCTGTTAAGTGAAGGGGGTGGGGGTTTGTCGATGTGACCATACTACACCCTGAATATGGGTGCATCATGATACATGGTCTAAAAGCCTTCAGGTACCTGAATTTAAGTTTAAGGGACCTGGACTTGGTGTCAGCTTCTTGCAGTCCCTGTACAGCAGTGCTCCAGTTTAAGAGGAAGAAGCAGCTAAGTTTCCAACTCCACCGGCTCAAATTTCTGTATAGTCTATTAATGATTGTCCCTTATACAGTTCAAAGAACAACTCCGGGAAAATGTATTATTAACCCTTGCAGTGGGGCTAAGTGCTTGTATTTGTCTAGGGAACAAGCTTTCAAGCCAGCTGTTAAGACTGGTCCTCCCTACATCTCTCTCTCTACGCTGCAGTGGTCTAAGGTCCCCGAGTCATCACATTCTGTGCATAGTGTCTAAGACGCGAGAATACCTAGGGACATACCATTGCTGCAATGTAGACGATAGGCTGGAGGGAGCGATTTGACAACCGGCCGTCCCTGAGGTTCGGGTCACAGAGCTCCTTCCAGGCTGTCTCCTTCTATACTGCAGTATAGGTATGTCCCTTGGCATCGTCTCGTCTTATATACTGTGTATAGAACAAGATGACTTAGACGGCTGCAGCGTAGGGGGACAGATGTTCGAAGGACAAGCCGGATATGAGGATCGGGCGAGTATAACTTTTTATTTAAGTCCCTAGACAAAAACAAGCAGCTAACCCTTGCAGTGCAGGAATAGCACCACTGCAAGGGTTAATAAAAAATGATTCCTGGAGTTCTTCTATAAATACTAAACATACACACCCCTGATCATTCAGAAATGATTCACATCTCCCCATGAAAAGTCAAAAAATGTTTGAGTTGTCTCCCAGCTTACTGGGTATTGAACTACAAAAGGAGGTTTTGTACATTTTACTCACACATTTGTATATTGTATTATTTGGTATTATGGATGATTAATTTTTTAAGGGCTAGTTCACACCAGCCCCATTGCGTTCCGGCCGATTTGGTTTGGTTCTAGAACACACTGGATCGCATCCTGGCCGGCTTCCTGTGTTTCGGGGCATGGCCGCAGTGCGAACGCCCACACCAGAACGCTTCGCACATTAATGTCTACATTCCAGGCCGGGGGGGCGGGGGAGGGCCGAAAAAATTGTGCATGCGGCATTTTCACCGCACCAGACCGGTATACAGGCATTGATGTGCCACGTGTTCGGGTGCAGGCGATTGCACTGCAGCCGGAGGGCATGGCTGCAGTGCCATTGACTTCAATGCACCGCAACGCCCCTCTTGCCCTAGAATGCAGTGAGCCTGCCGGGATGCAATCCAGTTCATTCCGACACCGAATCAGGTCGGAACGCACTGGGGCAGGTGTGAATAAGCCCTTACTGTTGTAAAAACAATAAACATAATGGAACAGAAAATCAGCAAGTGATGCGAGCTCATATCACTGGACAAACGCTCACAGGACACCTACCCAACTCTGAACACATCAGCCAGTTTGAGAAAAGCAGAATTGATAAGGATCGGGAACGGATACTTTTGAAACAGTCTTGGAAAACGGACGACAGCTTCACACTGCTCCCCGAGCTTCCCAGATCGCAACCCTAAACAACAACAAAAAACAGCTTAAAAAAAACTTATTGCCAAATTACAGCTTATTACAAATTACTTATTACAGCGTATTGCCAAAAACTACAAATCTGCATTCCTATATTGGATTTCCATTAGTTCTATCCCACGCCTAATCACCAGATCCATCTAGAAGTTTGTGAACTTACTTATTGAAGATGCCCATAAGATGGACTTCCTCATTGCACTAACACAAGTTCACTCAGCCCTGTGAATATACACTTCCTTGTGTCACCTCTTTCATAGAGACTGCCTTCTGAAATACAACTTTTTTTTATTTTTGTACATAGACCAAAATGAGCATTTAACCCTTGCAGTGCTGGGGTAGCCCCAGTGCAATACCGAAGAAAAAAAACTTCCCTGGAGTTCTTCTTTAAAGAGGAATTAAACTCAAAATTAAAACACTGCGAGCAGGCAGGCACTTTATTGTAGAAAAAAAACATAGAATGTCTCTTCTGCAATAGGACAAACGTACCCGCCTGTGCAGTCTCAATTAGAACGTACACTGAGTGGTGCATGAGTGACGCCTTTCCAACCGGCTAATCAAGGTGGCGGAAGAGTCTGAGGCAAAACTATAGGCGTGTGCAGTTGCTCAGCCACTGCGAGTGTTATGCTGGGCACACACCTTACAACCATCGCAAGACTTTTGTCTTGCGCACACCAGCCAATATAATTGCTTACATTATTAATTGTGAATGTGCATAAAATGACACCCGCCATTTACTGCCATGGACATTCACAACTAATACCGTAAGCATAATTATATAATTGCTTACATTATTAATTGTGAATCTGCATAAAATGCCACCCACCATTTACTGCCATGAATGGCATATTATGAACGGTCACAATTAACAATTAGAAATACTTTGTAAATAAATGGCTGTTTCCTCGTTCATCCCGGTGTGTGCGCAAGCGCAGATGGTCAGGACGGCACATTTGTCTGGGTCGGCATTCTCAACAGAACACCAGAGCTGCTCACCCCTGACTTACAGCCAAGTATGGTGCCATTTGTGACTCTATTTGGACTGTGGTTGCCATGGTGCTGCATGTGATCAGCTATGACAATGGCCATTGGAGGGCTTCAAAGTTTGGTTGAGAGCTGAAATAAGCGCACTGACAACCTTTACCATTCCTCCAAAGTAACTGTTTTGGGAGACTGTAAATTGGTGGGTAAAGTTCCTCTTTAAAGTGAACCTTTAATTAGAGAAATGCGTGGCAGCCATAGCCGTTCTGAAAATGAGAAGTCTATTTATAAATGTTTCACACAACTTTCACCCAGGATTCACACATTTGCAACTGGATTCCATTAGAAAAATGGTCAAATCTTGGGTGAAAGATGTACACATCATGAGCAAAATAAATATGTAAACAGGCCCCTAAATATAAATGGGATTTCTTCTGAATAAGAGTGTGAAATGTCCTTCTTTGACCTGACAGATGGTCGTGACCCTTCCCTCATCCCCATCTCAAACCTCATATAAATTAGGCCTGAAATAAGAACTGTCTGTGCTGCCCCGTGTGACAAATAAACTCCTAACATTATATTAGTAAATTACACTGTAGACATGAGACGAGGCTGGGGGCAGTAGCTATGGGCTCTTCATTCATAAATAAGGCCTCGGCCTCTACCTTTATCCAGCTCCATCAGAGCGGAGTTGGCGTCCAGCTCCTGCTCCCCATGGCCGGCATCGGCCAGAAACGATCTGCTGGTCCCAGCCGCCATGGCTGATCACACACACAACTCAATCCAGAGCAGCTGTACGGAACAACATGGAAGCCGCCATGACAGTGTCAACGCGCATGCTCCGTGCGTGCCTCTACGTCATGCCGCACTGGAAGCAACCTTGTGATTGGCTGGACGTGCTTTTGGCGCTCGCCCTTACGTAGCTGTGCTGTGGTTGGAGGAGGTGCTGTCCAATCAGCTGCCTCGCTTGCATTTCGCGGGAGAATTCGCTGCAGTTTGGAGTAGTTTCGCGGGAGAACATTGTGAGTGAGGGGCCGCTACGCTTCCCGGGTCTCCATATTGTGCCAGTCGTCATCTGTCACCCATCCGACCAAATGTCCCTCTTCCAGGCTGTGCAGCTCCGGGCCCGCTGGACTGATCGAGGTAAGTGTCCCTATGAATTAACCAGTCAGTCCTCTACTACTAGCACCAACTAGTTCCCATTATCTCGGTGTGGCAAGCGACCTACTGGGATCAAACGGTGTTTCTTATAGCGGCCAATCAGAATCCTTGTTTCATGATCAAGTCTCTTATGCAGAAATAGTTGTTGGAAGGTGATTGGTTGCTGTGGGCAGCAGAAAATGAAATTACTAGCAAACTTTCTAATGCCTTTTTATTACAAGGTTACTATCTCTAGTTTTTAAAGAGAGAGTGTTATGATCTGTGCAAAGGCATAACTAGAACCTTCAAGGCCCCGGTGCAAGAAACCATGAAGGCCCCCCCCTCCCCCCATTATTAACAGGAAGGCTGCCGAGGTCCGCAGCAAGGGCCTCGGGCAGCCGCTTGTTTAAAATATTAGTGCTGATGTTCTGTCCAGAACGCCGACCCAGTATCTGCGCTTATGTACAGATGGGATTAACGAGGAAACCGGCATTTATTTACAAGGTATTCGTTTGCAATTGTTGATTGTGACCATTAATAATATGCCGTCCATGGCAGTAAATGGGTGGAATATTAACGGTCACAATTAACGATTTAAACAAAATACTTTGTGAATAAATCCCTGTTCCCTCAATAACACTGGTCTGTGCACAGGCGCAGATGCTGAGGTCGGCAATTTTGACTACGTTGGCGTTCTCGACAGAACACCGGTATCTGCGTTTAGTATCGGGGCATTTTCACGTGAAAATGCCTAGTATTGGCAGTGGTGCATCCCTACTTAAAAATATAATGCATTGCTGGGACTTGTAGTCCTACATAGTTGGAGCTATTCTGCATTGCTGTATAATCATCAGACAACAATGCAGAATGCCACCAGCTATGCGGGGCTACAAGTCCCAGCAATACATTATAATAAGTCAGCTATGCAGAATGCCACCAGCATCCACCCCACTATAATGCATTGCTGGGACTTGTAGTCCTACATGTTTGGAGCTATTCTGCATTACTGTAGAATCACCATACAGCAATGCAACAAAACACCAGCTATGCAGGACTGCAAGTCCCAGCAAATCATTATAAAAGTGAGCACTATGTCACCAGTATTTCCCCATAGTTCTCCTAAAGGGTCATGGGAGGACATCAACTAGCGTCCTCCCATGACCCAAAGCTCAGTATACCGCGAGCTACAGCTCGCGGTTTACTGAGACCGCCGCAGCCGGGACGGATCCCGACAATACTGTCGAGATCCACCCAGCTGCGTGATTGACAGCTGGCTCTGCCTATCTAGAGTCAGAGCCAGTTGTACCCGCCCCTCCCCCGTCCGTTCCAACAGTCAGAGCGGGAGGGGGTGAATCCCTGCAGGGAGTCGTGAGTGACAGCCAGGGCTCTCTGCAGGGACAGGTTCGAGAAGTGAGCGATCACTTCACGATCTATTGAGCTGACGTATGACAATTTTATTGTTACACGTCGGCTCGAACTATGAGGCTGAGTGATTTTTCACTCACCTCATAGTTCTCTTTTAAATTGTGATTCTTTCGAACTTGCTGCACACATTCCCTGGCAAGTTGTAGATTTGGAGCACAAGTTCTATTTGACACTTTTTGAATTTGTAGCAAATTTGCTAGGCAGGTCTTGGCAAGAGCTCTGCAAGTGTACAGCACTTTTACAAAGCACGTTGATCTGGAGACTTGCAATTGTGCAACAAAATTGTGACGTTTGGCAAGTCATTTTCAAACTTGCAGCTCAATTGCTTGCTATCTGGGATATGGTTGTGTAAGAGGGCTAGTAAACTAGGCTCCTCAAGCCCCATTCCTTCCACAGTTCCATTTGTTTCCTCCATTCATTAGATTTATTAGGGGCCTATTTACATCTGTGTATTGTGGGAAGACATGCGATAACATGCTTTTGATGCACTGCAGTGCCAATCATAAGTAGCAACCCTCCAGACTAAGGCAATGCACATGAGTTGCAACACATGGCAAATAAATCATGTGTGTTGCAGCAAACATTTTGTGACCTGTCTGGCGTTTGGGACATTTTGGTCCATTGGAAGCCCATTGGTTTTGCCTAGATTCAGATTTTTTTTTTTTTTTTTTTTGTATGCTTTAAAGTGACATAAAAGGACACTAAACTCAGGAGTTAAATCTAAAAAATGCATTCAAGTACCCTATTATAAAAAAAAAAATGTTTTACACTTAACTTTATTGTTAAGCTGCCATTGTCAAGTTATAGTTGTAGTTATTCTGATCCTTTGGCCTTAAAGGGTTATTAAACCCTCACGTTTTTTTGCATAGAGCTACAGCTAGCAAGTGGTAGATGTATGCAAAAACTTTTCAAACAGGTTTAAACTTACCTGTACCTTCACCGTGCGCTCCCGTCCGAACATCTGAAGAGTCTCGGGCGGCTGCAAAGGATTTTGGGGCGGGAGCATGTGCAGTTCAGATGTTCGGCCGGGAGATGAGGAGAGACACAAGGTAAGTCTATGGAGTAGCGAGCACCCGCACAGACTCCATGGGACGTCAGAGAAGAGGAGGACAGAGGAGTCAGCGCTGGATCGGAGACCCGCACCAGCGCTGGAGGGACAGCTGAAACACAGTAGAAAGATGATCGAATTAAGAAACATCATTTAAGGTAAGTCCTTACATTAGCACTGTCGGGGGGTGGACTTTTTACTTTAATGTCACTTTAATACTTGCAACATGCAAATGAGAAGGATCAGAACTCCTGATCTGCGTACTTTTTCCTGGTCAATGACTGAGGGTTGAAGCAGAAGGGTCAGCATGCCAGCCAGGCAACTAGCATCTTCAGAAGGTGCGCAGCATAGGAACTCTGTCTTTCATAATTGCTTTCTTTTAACTAAAAGCTGATCGTGTCTCGGCAGTAATGGTTTCTGTTTGTAAAAGGCCATTACTCCCTGATTATTCCTGAGGCAGATCTCATTCTTTAGAATGCAATGAAAGCCGTTCCAAGCACTGCTTGCACGCCGGCCATTAAGAAGGTGTTCTGCTGCTGGATAATGGAGTATACCAGCACACAGATCTGGCTTTACTGAAGGGTTCCTTTTATATCATTGAATGTACACACTGTGCTCCTATAAATGATGGCAAACAAGTTAAACTCTACAGACATAATGCATGCGTCAGTGCAACCAAAACCTGCAATCCTTTTTCGAAAGTACATTTGAAATTTGAATTCAATGGGATCCTAATGCAACGGTAAGGGCTTCTTCAAACCACACCGCATGCTACTGTGTGCATAACATGAATGCAGTGTGAACGAGCGTTATAGTGCTTGGTTGTAATTCCATGTGGCGCAGTGTATTGTAATGAAATACGGCCTGCTGTAGCATGCTGTAAAAAATTGCAACATGTCCTTGCACTTTGCAACAATTTGCATTTTTCTGCAGAGAGTTCCTGAACACATAATGCAAATTTCTTGCATTGGGCATTGCTGCTGGTATGAACGAACTGTCGGGGAAAGATGCCTGAGTGTTCAAACTATGCCTGCGCGTCCAAACACCCTCTAATATCTACAGTCAACTTTATTCAGCTAGCAGATGTACAATTTTACATTCTACTTTAGTTTGGGCTCCATTTTCTGGATGGTTAAGTTTCTGCTGACTGCAATCTCGGAACAATTTTGGGCATCGTAGTAATTCTGACTAGCCAAAGGCCAAATATATCTCAGATCAGCAGATCAGACCTGTTTGGAATCCAATGAACACAATGGACCCCTTGTAGGAAGAACTTGTTACCTGTAAAAAAAAAACATCCAGGTAACTCAGTTTCAATGTCCTATACTTCACTGAGAATCTTGGCAAATAGAATAGTTCTTCATGCTTTTAAATATTGCCTTGTGAAACTCTTGTAGAAGGATATGTGTTGTCCAAAGCAGCCAGTCCAATTCCTCCTACCATCTATTCCACTCGAGGAAAATAGCAGCTGGGATCTGGCTGTGACTGGCAGCACAGCCCTTCTCCAGCCTTAATCAAGGCCTGATATAACATTGTTGGTTTTTACTCCACTGCTTGCTTTTCTTTTTAATCATAGTTTTCTTTTGTTGCAGCATCACAGAAGTACCCTCTGCAGAGTCTATTGCAGTGCTTCCAATGTGACAGACAAGATGAACATATTTCCTATGGTGGGTTGGGGGTAGCAGTACCACCATTCGGCTGCTCATTCAGTGCAGGTGAGACTTTTTCTGTGCTAATCTCCAATAATGCTTCCGTTAGAGCAGCTTCCTTTTACATTCCTGATGGGTGAATGCTCACTGTGACAGTCCATGTATGTTTACATCAGTGTGGTACTGCAAGTACTATTGCAGCATTCTGGACAGCTGCTTTGTGGCAATGATCCTTAAAGCATTCCTAGCATGGCCTACAAGTGGTCACAATCGGGAAGCCATCAATCCATACGTACATGAGCCATATGTATACCCTGTGCATGTTTCAGGTAGGGATATATCTGAAGTATGCAGTGGCATTAGGACACGTGGTGTTGTGGGAGTCTTTACAGTGTTTCTTATACCCCACCCTTTAGTTATAAGGAATTTCTGTAACTGTACTGGTGCAGACAAAATATAGGTCAAATTTAAGACCATGCTGCTTGGACACTTTTACACTATTACACTCTTCAAATTGAGACGTGACTTCTGGGTGTAGTATCTTTTACTTGGCAAATTTTCTACCCATTGGATGTTTAAAGCATTCATATGGCCTTTTTCTCATCCAGACCGCCTATGCATGGACTGTGCTGTTTCAACCTAATGAGCTTTATCCAAAAAGGGTTGGTGTTTCTAGTCAGCATGTGAAGTGCGACTACAATGTCATTACTAACATACAAAGTGCTGGTAGGGATTCCTCAGGCAATGCTCACTGGGAAACATATGCAAATAACCCTCTATAAATATAATTTTACTCTCCTTTCCATTAACTTTCTCCTAGGAATATTTGGAAAAGCATGTGGCTATGATGGCTAATGGTTATACTCACCATTACATAACGCATCATAACATAAGTGTGTTCTCTAACCCTAATTCTTTTGCCTCACAGTAGCTTATATCCAGTAGGACCTTGTTACAAACCAAAACCCAGATAGGGTGTTACACTGCAACAAGTACAATCTCTGCACCCAATTGACTAATTCAAATGTTCTGGTTGTGTTGTTCAGCAGCGAATATACCCCACGTGCTTGCCGTGGCCAATGAAGAAGGAATAGTCAAGCTGTATGACACAGAGTGTCGAGACACAGAAAGACAAATCCTGAAAGGTGAGCTACTCTTCGTTTGCACCCTTCATGGGGTTTCTTTTAGTCTGTGTTGTAAACAGGGAATGCATGGATTATCTCCATTATGTTTAGTAAGGAAAAACATTTTTAGTTTAGATAAATATGAAATATTTAATTATTATTATTATGTCCCTTTGCATGCAGTGAATAGTGAGGTCTATGCTAGATGGGAACTTTCTGCCAATTCTGCTAATGCTAAAAATACAGCTGAATTAGTCAGAGGCGGCATTCACCACTCTTTCTCCTAGATGGACAGGAATGTGTTAGTTTACACAACTGTTAATAAGTATGCAAGCAATGCTGGGCTTTATTTTATTGAAAAGCCTAGCATCCACTACCAGCTGTGTTACAACTGCAAGGTTTGGGTTGGTATCTGTGGACTAGCTGGGAAGATAACTATAGTTGCAACGGTGACTATTTTCTCGGTTGCAGAAAATTATGGGTAATCCCAAATCCTTAAAAACATGTGGTAAGGGGAAATCTAATGTGGACACCTGTTCCAGGGGAGGGTATTTCTTTTCACTTTGGGCAAATTTTCCTCTCACCACTTGTCCTTGGAAGATAATTAAGCAAACAGTACCAACAGAGCGACCACACGAGGCCACCATTAGTATTTTTGGCAGACTGCCGGGCCACACATTGAATGTTGCTGAATCAGGACTCAATATTATTTTTTTCCCCCTAGTGGATAGCACTCAGGGGATTGGAGGGGAATTTATAGGATAACTTTATAACAGCACAACTGTTCTCCCTAGAGCATTTTTTAAACATTGATGCACTTATTCTTGTAGCTTTCCTCCACATTTTCTGATGTCATTTTTTTCCCCCCTCCTAGATTGGCAAGCCCACACTAATGCAGTCTTTGATCTTGCTTGGGTGCCAGGAGAGCATAAATTGGTAAGTAATTATGGTCCTCTCCCATATCCCAAGTGGTGAGCGCACACAACTGTTCTGTAACTTGGTTGCAGTGAATCTACTTGGCCTCTGTTTTCTGTTGTAAGCCCCATCAGAATAATTACCGTGTAAGGTTTAGTATGTAGTAGCTGAACACAACTGAAGCTTAAGGTGGCAAAGATGGTAAGCATTTCTAAGCATTTGTTTTTCAGACTCTGTATAAAGTAAACCGGCCATGAAAAAAAATACAGGGTCCTGCTATTGCCATTTTACAATGTTAAGATGACTGACCAATACTTTCAGCCACTGACCTGGAACAAGCATGTAGGTTAGGAAAGTCTGAGAAAGGCCAGAAAATCTGGGCTCTGCCGTTACTGACCTCTCCTCCCAATTTAGAGACCAGTAACGGTGACCACCCATGTTTTCTTATGACAAGTAATATTGAGCTTTTTGGAGAATTGTATACTGGATACTTTTTGGATAGGGAGTCGGGGTAGTGGGGAGCGTTGGTGCACCAGACATTAGGTTCCAATTTCCATTCACACTCCTACGGTCTTGCAGTTCAAAAAAGGTATCTGTGGTGCTCGAGGTGACCGCACGGATGGCGCCGTGCAAACACTAGCAGTATATACAAGGATTTCACCAGCACACACATGGAGATTCAAATATCAATATTGCATTGATATATTTATTCAGTGAGGGACGTCACATAGTGTCATAAGGTGCTAACGTTTCAGGTCCACACAGGAATCCTTCATCAGAGCGGTCACTGTGTCGCTCTGATGAAGGATCCCTGTGCGGACCCGAAATGTTGGCACCTTATGACACTATGTGACGTCCCTCACTGAATAAATGTATCAATGCAATATTGATATTTAAATCTCCATGTGTGTGCTGGTGAAGTCCTTGTGTATATACTGCTGGTGCACAAGACATGGCACTGGTGAATCTGATGTTTAATTTGGCATTCAATTTAAAGCTTAAGACCAGCCAAAATTCACCCCACGGGAAAGATTTCACTGGAACAGAAAGTGAAAGAACATATTCACAGAGAGTGCTCATCACTTGTATCGGGTGCTCAACACTTGTATCAAGTGTATGCACTGCCCATCAATCTCCTATAGCATCAAGTGTGCTGTGCTCAACACTAAAACATGAGAGGTTCTTCTGTTTTATGCCATTGAAAATATAATATATGGCTTACGTTGTGCTTTACTATGTAGAATCTGTCCTAGGAGAGAGCATGCAAATTCTAGCTGAATGTGTCAAGTGTTTTGGCAATATGGTCAAATTCTCCACTAACCCTCCTAAGACTGAACTAAATAATCCCCTTTTAATTAAATGTTTTTTTAACCAGGACACAGATTAAAAAAAACTAAAAACCTTGCCCTCTCCACTCGATCACAAAAAAAAAAGTTATGTCCTCTTTTTTTCTCCTGTGGCAGGGGTAGCCAAACTTTCGCCCTCCATCTGTGGTGAATCTACGAATTCCATTTGGCATTGCAAGACTGACAGCCGCAGGCATAATGCCCAGCGCAAGGGCTCAAGTTTTTGGTTACCACTGTCCTATGGTATAATGGTGTAAAAAAACTAGGTCCTGTTGTGCCTGTACAGTATATTTGTTTTAGTTTCATATGAAAATAAGTATAAATGGCTTCACTTTGATTGTACTAGGGCTCTGTTTCATTGATGATCTGTTTTGTGCAGGTTACAGCTTCAGGAGACCAGACTGCTAAGCTGTTTGATGTTAAGGCTGGAGAACTGATTGGAGAATGTAGAGGCCACCAGGGCAGCCTAAAGTCTGTTTCTTTCTCTAAGTTTGAAAAAGGTATTTTATCATTTTGTTCTTTATATACTTTATATGAATTGGTCATCCTGCTAACACCTCATCCCCCTTTTTTTTTCCCACTGGAAAATAATTTTGTCATAAGCATTGAATTAGCAGCACCAGGACAACTTGTAAAATGACTCGCTTTCTGCCCTCTTCAGTCCTTGTGCAGGTTTATTTAGTGATGACCGAGGGGTGATACTTATTTCTTCTGACCATCACAAGTGCTTAATGCTTATGGGAGACTTAATGTAAAATCAGGGCAGCCCTGGCCAGTCCTTGCTTCACAGAGAACAGGTAAAGAAGCCATGAACAGCTTGTATTCTACTTCAATCTGTTGATCTATGGTGGTGAAGCCCAGTGATACAGAGGAATGTGAAAGCCACTGGATCAGCTTGACAGCCAGGCAACTAGGTTTCAGCAATGACAGACTTCATATTCCTCTCAGGACAGGTTTCCTGTAATCTGGAAGATGTGTATGCGTTACGTTTTACTCTTTTTGGGAAAATTGGTTTAATAACCATTTTGTTTTCCACACAGCTGTGTTCTGCACTGGAAGCAGAGATGGAAATGTTATGGTCTGGGATACTCGATGCAACAAGAAAGGTAACTGAAATTCTTCAAAACAGTGTCCTTTGGTGTGGGTCTGTGCAAAGGAGCAGCATTACAGTAAGGTGTTCAAGCCAACGCAGGCAGTCTGATATAATTATAGTGTGTTGAGAGAAATATGATTAGAGTGGGTTATGTAATCAGGTTTCCAATAATAACATGGACAGCACTACATTTTTTTTTTTGCGTTCTTGTATCTCTGCTGGTGATGTGACCTGCACTACCTGTGTGGTCAATAGGACAGGAAGTGAGGGGGCAATGTTCCTAGTATTTTGAGAGCTGTGGGATGCATTGGGAAATACATTTTGATCATTCTATCTTAGTTTTATGTTCTTATCCTTTTTCAGATGGTTTTTATAGGCACGTGAAACATATTACAGGAGCTCACAATGCACCAGATAAACAAACCCCACTGAAGATGATGAAGAAGAAGAAACCAGTTGCCAGAGGACTTGCCCCTTCTGTGGTAATTTGCACTTCTATTTACAGTAATTAAATTGCACGCTTGGAAATCAACATAGTTGAACATTTAGATCGTGGTAAGGTTTGACGATAAATAGAGCTTATATTCAAGCTTCTCACATGATTTGCATTGTTCTAGAGTCTCTAGACCATCATGGTCTGACTAAAAATGTATGCAGGTGATTTTTTTTTTTTTTTTACTGCTTTGAGTTTTCATTTGTGCTGTCACAGCTTGATTGGGACAATGGTTAGGAACCACTGAACTAAGGGCTGCCTTGAACTCACAGGCTACTTGGGCTTACGTTTACTTGAATCCCCCCCCCTTTCCCAGCACCACATACTTTTCCTTCACTCTTCCTCTGCTGGGAAACAAGAAAATGCATACATTTGACAGCGATGAGCCAATTGCAACTCATTGGTGCTTTGACATGGAGAGAGTCCATAGCCCTGTTTAAAGCTGCAACTAGAGTGACTTGTAGCTCACACAGGATCACTTTTCCTGCACTTTGTAGCTGATTGGAGGAGCGAAGGAGAAATGCTGCTGGGCAGGGATTGATTTATGCAATCCTGCCCTATTTAGTCAAAGCATGGCCTTAAGTTAAAGCAGCCATCCGAGAACTTGAGTTCAGTGCTAATTGTTAGCTGTCTGGCTGTTATACTTCAGTACTCTGAGTAACTGACCTGGCAACTGAAAGTGTTAGGATCTGTCAAGTTAGGGGAAAAAGTGTGAAATCCTTATCCTGCATGGTTTTTCATGTCAGGAAATGCTAGGTAGACCATGTGACAGCCAGACGGGGAGCATTTTCAGAAGGAGAGGGTCGCAGTGGTGGCTTCCATGTTTTCTTTAAACACAAGGGGATTTTTTGGCTTCAAATACATTTGCCTACTTGGCTGGTAAACTGTACAAGCACTGCCTTGCAATCTATTTGCTTTATTTGGGCAGTTCTCCATATAACACCATTACTGAATTACTCTCTTGTAGGACTCCCAGCAGAGTGTGACTGTGGTAATCTTTCAGGATGAGCACACAATCATATCGGCAGGAGCTGTGGATGGGTAAGCCGTAACTAAAATGCATTTCACAACTTATACACTTTCAAAGCGACACTCCAGACAAGCCGATAAATACAGAGATAATTTTTGATGAGAAATGGTTAACATTTAACTGTAATTCTGTTCAGCCAGTCAAATATTTTCAGAACTGTACAGCCAGACAGGTCATGTTTTAGGCAGTTAAGCTTCCTGTATTGCCTGCAGACTTCTCATTAGACTGTAACTTAGCAGAAAGCTGACCTAGAAAGCAGTGAAGTTAGGAAAGTAGTAGAGTGATCGTGCTGATAAGCAGAGATAATATAATGCACGAACAGTTGACCAAATCCTCTGGCAGGAAGAACATTGAACCTGTACTGTATATTTCAGCATGGGTTTGTCTATTTGCAACAGTTCCGCTTATTCATCTGTCTTGTAGGTTTTACACGATCTGCTCACAAGGTTTGGCAATTATGATTATACTTCACATGTGTTTTATATCAAAGAAGCAAACTAATCTTTGAGCACTAGATGGAGCGCACCTCCCTGAGCAGAGCATTCAATTGGTGTTTTGGCTTTTTTTTATTTTTCTTCTTGAAAGCTCCATGAATCATTGGTTTCCCACATAGAATTGGCTGTGAGGAAGATATTAATTCTGATTGCCTGTTCCTTGATGGTTAGAATCTTCATAGCAAGGTATTTGTCCTACCCTGACTGGGCTCCTCGACAGCATGGAAGATGAGATCAGCTCCTTCTCCAGATCAGTTAGCTTTGGCTGCTCTGTTTTGTGTATGACGCTTGTCAGTTGTATTGTCGTTGGCGTTTTCATGAAAGTTAATGTAAACATTTTTATTTTCCCTAGGATAATCAAAATGTGGGATTTGAGAAAGAATTACACAGCTTACCGACAGGATCCGATATCAGCAAAATCCTTTCCATACCCTGGGAGCAGTACACGGAAACTTGGTATGTGATGTTTGAATTTGATTGCATTTCAGTTTGGCATAAAGCTAAAACATCAGCATGTAGGATAGTGGTAAAGTGTTGAGATCTGTGTGGCTACAATGTTTTCTCTACATGTCACAGCCATGGGAGGGAGGGCTGCTGCTATGTGAGAGGAGCTTGCTCTGTTCTGTGTAGTCAATTGGCATGATGTGATGGAGAGGATCACAGACTAATTTATTTGGGAATTGGGTCCTTCTCCCTTCTGGGCGATCGTATTCAAGATCGATGAAAGTTGGCTAGTAAAGTTAACATCTTGTTATGATAGCAGTTTCTTGCTGTAAAAGGTGTGTGTGTTTCTTAAGTTTGGAGAACATTTTGCCAGCTTTTACTCATCATCGTTTCAATTTTTGCAGGGTATTCCAGTCTGGTTCTGGATTCCACTGGTTCTAACCTATTTGCCAGCTGCACTGATGATAACGTTTACATGTTTAATGTCACTGGATTAAAGAATGACCCCGGTAAGAGGCAGTTCATACACGTCTAACTTCTAATGACTTGCAGATTTGGCTAGTTATTGTGGTCACATGATCAGGAAACACACTGATCAGCTCCCGAAATGATAGCCGTGATGCTCAGGAAACAGATCCGCTCCTGATGATAAACCCTCCTGGATGATCACGTAAGGAAACACAAATGAGCCCCTGATATGCGAGCCGTGATGATCGCTTAAAGTGGCATAAACCAATACTGTAATGTGCGCCTTACTGTAATCAATGGTTGTTTCCCTTCTCTTTGCTGCTCTTCCTTTTAAATTTGTATCTGTTCTCATGCTTGGGGAGAACTTCTGTTTTGCAGCAGACTGCCTTGTCTCAGGAATGGATATATGGTGTCTGTGTATAGGTTTGTATAGGCTTGTAACCTGAGCCAGCACTACAGGAAGAGGCCCTGAGCTGCAAAGGGAAGTTCTCCCCAAGCATGAGAAGACATGAGGATTTAAAAGGAAGAGCAGCAAAGAGAAGCTTGATTACATGGACAACCATGGATTACAGTAAGGCACACATTACAGTATTGGTTTATGTTAAAAAATCTGAGGGTTTAATGTCACTTTAACGAAACACACAGATCAGCCCATGATAAGCGAGCCGTGATGATCACTTAAGATCATACAGGTCAGCCCCTGATAAGCTAGCCGTTTTAATCTCATGATCAGGAAACTCACCGATCAGCTCCTGATTAGCAAGGCAGTCTTTATGGACAGCCCATCTACTTGTAGGTCTGATTTTTAGAATTGTTCAAGTTCGGCCTAATGTAAATGTTAGTGTGTTGAATATTTTAACATCAGTTTTTATTTGATACATGATAATTATGTGCACAAGTCGGCTGTATTTGTTAAATATGGATCTGCCTCCTGATTGTGGCATGTTGACCCTGTTTGTCTCAGAAACTTACAATGAGTTGTCTATGGCAGTGATGGCCAAACTGCGGCCCTCTAGCTGTGGTGAAACTACAAATCCCATGAAGCATCTCTCTCCGGGAGTCGTGGCTGTGAGTCTTGCAAAGCCTCATGGGATTCGTAGTTCCACCACTGCTGGTGGGCCGCAGTTTGGCCATCCCTGGTCTATGGGAATTTGTTCCCTGACGCTTTCAGTTGAAGTTTGAACTTGAATTCTTGCCATGGAACAAGCTCTTGCAGGATTATTACATTTGCACCTGCAGCGTCTGCTCAGTTGCAGACACGAAGGCTTCATTCACGCTGATCATTTTGTAGCGTTTTTTTCTGCTCAGACCCCCCCCCCATTTATTTCAATGGTCCTGTTAACATCTCTGCGGCATGTCGAGTGTAGCAAAACGCTCGTTGCTTGTAGGAGGTACATGAGCTACTTTTTGGCAGATTCTGCGCCTCTTTGCCCCATAGACCTCAACGCTCAAATATGTGGATTTTTGCGCACGTCTGTCCATTGACATTAATGTGCCGCAATCTGCTCATTTAAACGTGGGACTTTATATATGCACATAAAACACATATACAAATATGCAAAAAGGCGCTTAAAACACGTTTCTTGTCACTCAGGTGTGAATGCAGCCTAAAGCTGGCCAGATGGGAAAAGTGCAACAGATTCCTCCATCTACGCCAAGTTGTGTGGCTGGAGGAAAGTACCACTGGGCCAAGCGTCGGTATTTTGCTAGTCCGCCCCGCTGGCTCTCAAAATACCTGGACAATGCCTTCATCCAATCAGATTGTTCAGGTATTTTGAGAGCCAGCTGGGCCGGCTAGCAAGATACTGAAGCTTGGCTCAGCGGGCGATTCCCCCATACACACAGTTTAGCATAGATGGGGCAATCTGTTACCCATTTTCCATCTGACCATAGAAAATCTGTACATAATCTATAGGTGTATGGGCAGTTAAGGTAAGATGTATAACTCTGATTAGATTCAGGAAGAGCCATTATAACGCATTTTAAAAATAGGAAGTGTTAACAGCATTTTAATATGCTCTGCAGCATTGACCTAAATTAACTTTAATCGCTATGTTCTCATCTATTTTTAATACAACTGATGTGAATTTTTTCCTTTTCATTGATTATCCACAGCAGATATCAGAATCTTAGTGCCATTGTGTAATGTGTGCGATTTCCAGCAGATGGCGCTCTTACCTGCTTTAAACATGTACAAGGAAAGTTTTTCTAAGCAAAACATCCCCTTTTCCCCGATTCGTTGTCAGAGTGGTGAATAAGCGTAGAGGAGGAATTTGCTGCTCCTGCGCTCGTGTAGCAGTGAACACAGGGGAAGATTTATTACATCACAGGAATTCCTGCTCTCAGGAGAAAGCGCAGTGTGCCCTGGTTACAGACTTATTTTTAGATTGCTTGTTACTTCACAACTAATTTTACAGCCATCCTTCAACTGCTTTTAAAGTTGGTGTAAACACCGGGGCTCTAATGCTCCAGATACTGCGAACTGTGCAGGAATTGGACCAATTTTCTTTGGTTAGAGCAGCAGTGTATTAAACAAAAAATAAGACCCATCGCTATTGTAATGCTGATAGGGGAAGATTATACTGGGCACAGATTATGTAGGCATGCAAAACAGGATCATTGATGCCAGTTCAGTTTTCTCCCTAGCTCATAATATGACTTTTTGAAGTCTGCGAGGGGGGCTGCATTATGGTAACAAATTTGTAAGGTAGAAGGTGATGCAACCTGAATTTCTTTTCAGAATTCCATTCAAACTGCAAAATACAGATCACTGAACTGTTATCTAGAGAAAGAGTTGTAGTTTTGTTAAGCGAGTCTTGTGATCCAGGCACCACAGCCAGACACCACAGCTGGATCAGTCATCTAGCCTTGCAGATACACAATAACATTTGCCCACCCCTAGTCTACTGATTGGACTTTGAAGAAGCCTCAGTAGACTGAAGAGGTCTTCTCTGCTGTTCAATTTTGCACACCTACTGTTAAAAAGCGCTTGGCATTTGATATCAAATGATATATAGCAGAGTCTTATTTGCTTACAGTCCTGCTATGCTAAGTTAAAGGAAGCTATACCCTAGAAAAGGCCAAGGACTGGTCACCAGTATGACTGCAGCTGATCTTTCCCCAATACTGACTTACCATGCCTTGTTCTGCACGGTTGTTTTGTGGAAGTGGCAATCTAGGTAGAGGTAGGACTTTGCTTTCCTTATGACAGAGCTGCCCCTGTGTGTGATGAGTGATGGGGGACTAGTACAGCAGCAGGAGGAGGTGCCAAAAGCATAGATCCACTGAATGAAAGAGGCAGAAGCAGGGAGTTCCTCACAATGTAGGTCCTCGGGTACAGCCTTCTCTTCAGCAAGGAAAACTGAGTAGTAGTGGCATCAGCAAATCTCAAAGAACTAACTTTTAGAGATGCATTGCATTGGGTGATGGCTCACAGGAGCTGTAAATAAGGAGCTCTCTAAGGTTAATGACACAGGAAGTGCATGGCTGTTTCTAGAGAAAGTTGAGGCAAAAGGTAGGTTTTTCAGGGTATGGCGTAAGTGCATTTACAAGGCTATCTGAGTAATTAGCTGCTCAATTAATGTTCCCAGATGTTGGACAATTTGAAGTACTGATCCAAACAATATGAACTCTAACTTTTTTTTTTTTTTCCCTCTTCATTTAGTGTCTGTCTTCAGTGGGCACCTGAACTCTACCTTCTACATTAAGTCCAGTCTCAGTCCTGATGGTCAGTTCCTGCTCTGTGGCTCCAGTGATCACAGTGCTTACATTTGGCAGGTTAGTGTGTGTATATTATGCTGTACATCCTTTTGGATTATAATTAAAGTGGGTTGGGTTCTGTGTTGAATCAAAAGATTACGGCTACTCTGTTGTCAAACTCTTCAACTTAAGGAAAATGAAATTCTAGAGTTGTATAACAGACATAAAAGGACACTAAACTCGGGAGTTAAATCTTAATGTATTCAAGAACCTTAACTATTAACACAAATGTATTTTATTTGTGTATCACTTGGCTGTAGATCCTCAAATCATCTCTGAATTGGTGCTGACACTGTCCTTCCTTCTAGAGGGTGGCTACTTTTGTTCCCCATGGTCCCTGTGTGTGTTGTAAAGTAGTCACCGCTCCAAGCTCGCTCCAGGGATGGACTACAATCTCAATACAAATGAGTAAACTAAACGTGAGATTGTAGTCCATCACAGGAGTCCATCACTAAAGCAAATAGCGATTGTGCAAAAAAATTCCTCAGATGATTTGCAGCCAATCTGCATGTAACTCTCAGGTAAGGATAATCACACAATGCAGGCAGACCTTCACCTCCACCCAGTGAGTGACAAGTGAGTGCTCACCTGGGGAGGTAGACCCACAGAGCTAGGTCAAATGCGCTTTTCCCCTACTTAATGGGGGAGGGAAGCCCATGCACAGAAAAGGCGTTAAGGTCTCCTCAGATCACAGGTACCAGTATAAATCCAGGCGGAAAAAGGACAAGGACATAGTGCGTAACGTCCAATAAAATGCAATTTTTTAACTAAAAAATGCGTACTCACAATGGTGTAAACCGTACAGGCATTGGGTATTGCTGGGTCAAACCAGCAAGGCAAATGGCAGCAAAGCAATGAAAAAAACCTGTTCGTCCGGCTCAGTGCAGTGACATCAGAAGCTCTGCCCTACGTAGGTTACGTCAAAACACATGATTTCATCAGGGGTTTGCGTGTTTTGACGTAACGTACGTCAAAACAAGCAAAAATCTATAATTGCTGTACCTTTTCTCATTTAAAATACTGAGGCTGTTAGTCTGATAAAAACTAATGGCGTCACTCTCTCTCTCTCTCTCTCTCTCTGGTTTCAGTCACTGTTCTGGTGCAAGCATGCAGCAAGCAAAATCTGAGTACAGTTCGAAATTTCTCTCTCTCTCTCTCTCTCTCTCTCTCTCTCTCTGGTTTCAGTCACTGTCCTGGTGCAAGCATGCAGCAAGCAAAATCTGAGTACAGTTCGAAATTTTAGTTTATTTTTACTAGATTTGAAAGTGGCTGAATGTGACAGCCAGGCAACTAGCATTTTAGAAGATACATTATGCAAGCTTCCCGCTTTATAGATCTGTTGTAGCTTACTGGAAAGATTTGACATGCAGTTTACCTTTCCACCCTCTATACAATGCGTATTGATCTGACACTGTAACTCTATCCTGTAAGCACGTGTAGCAACGGATCTGTTTTCCCTGTCAAACAAGGACTTAATTCTTCAGCCTCTTCCTCTTTTTGGATCAATAGGTCATCCAGGACACCTGAGAAGTCGGGAGAGGCTCAATTTTTGATATGTTACATGAGACAGTTGCTAGACAGCAGTTCCTTCCCATAACATTCTGGCATGGTTACAGGATAGCAGAAGGCTAACCCTGCCAAATGACAACAGCCACCCAGGATTATTGGCTCCAGCCAGTCACCTGTTTGTCGTACTTTTCAATTAATCTTGGCTGTATTAGATGTGTGGGCTGTTCCAGAACACAACACTTGTCAGGGGCTGCCTGGAAATGTGGCTTCTGCCAGGAATTTATTTTATACTAAACCGGCTATTTAGAAATCAAATATAATTCCTTCTGCACTTTTTAAAGACAAAATTGTACTGGGCGCATTTTTGTTTTTTTGTAGGGCTGTTACTGATTAAAATGTTCGTGTTCGTCGTGCCCCACTCAATATGGCCGCCGCTTGAGTGGGGCAACTCAGAATAATAACGTGCTGGATTAGTGTGATCCTAGTTCATTTTATTACTTCATTGCTGTGCTGTATGTGTATAGGCCAATGCCTTGGCTGGTGCTCGTGCAGAAAGTTTCAAAAACATTTTAATCGATCATACCGATCGAGAAATTAATCGTTAATTTGCACAGCCCTATTTTTTTTGGTGTATCTTGATAACACAACTTGCATGAATATATTGCCTAGCACAACATATTTCCAAAAGTCTTTCAATCGATTGACCGCACATTCGCTTTCTCTTCCCTGTTAGCGAAGGATATTGTGTTTTGATTAGAGAGATGTGTCATTCTTTTGCTTTGCATCGAATGGTGTTCAATTAATAAGGTGCAAGCAGCGTTCAGCGCAGTAGTACTCGGGCTGCATGCTGCCACCCCAGTCAATGGGCTCATGGCGAACTGAGTTCAGAAGAAGTGGATCAAACGATGCTGGAAGTCATGCCACCTGAAAGATTGGCAGCATCTAGAATAGAATTGCTGCGGAGCGGAGCTCTGGATTACAGCCGAGTACTGGGAAAGGGGGGGGGGAACCACTCTGCAGCGTGCAAGTTCAAATAAAAAATCTGATTGTGTATGCATCCCTTTGTCATATGACCGCTTCAATTAGTAGTAGCCAAACCACTGCCCTTTTTAGCTGTTATGGAACTGCAGGTCCCATAAGGCACTGCAAAACTGACAGCTACAGGGATGGCTTGTACACCAGACTATCTACACAACATATCATACTATCGATTCGTGTGCTCTGTGGCCTCCACGTGACACAAGTGGTTTAATGAATGGTTGGGTTTTGCTTCAACTCTGTGTTTAGGACAGCTGTGTGGTTGGTAAGGGCTGTCCCCTGATCCTGTTTTGTCAGCACCGAGTGCAAGTGTGCGTGTAAGTCAGCTTGGAAGCAGATGGCGTCTCCACTCGGTCACACGTCAGTTGCATAGTAACACTTTCACGCATCTCCTAAATGGTCATCACACTAGTTAACTTAATAAATTGAAGGAATAATAGTAGTAACTAGAAAAACAATGCACGGAAAGCTACATTAAAGTTTTACAGAGGCAATCCTCTAAATAACATTGATTGGGCTGTGCCAATACTTGATATGTGAAATTTTGGTGGTTGTATGCCATAGTTAGTCTAGTCAGCCTTCAGTGGCTATGAGTGGCCTCTCACATATAGTGCTTGAATTATTGTGCAAAAGTGTTTCTCTTGTTTACAGACTCTTGGTTATTCACATCCTAAAAGTTCAAAGAGGTCCACTTGCATTTCTAATAGCTGTTTTTAGGCAGATATGGTTCTAACAAACGCCTAGCCAAAACATTTTGGGATTTTTTTTTTTTTTTGCATGGTTATAAACACTGGCAGCGCTTTATTGGCATCTGTTTCCTGGTTTACTTTACTTCCTGTCCCTCTGGTTACACATGAAGCAAAGAGAAACCGTTTTCTTGGTGTCAAGTTTTGTTTATCAGCTGTCCTGTTACAAGGATGCTAGGTAAGCGCTGGTTTTATTAAAGTGACATTAAGGCTGGGTTCACACCTAGGCGTATCGAATATGCGCGTTTGTCGCGCGATTCGAGTTTAAAAGAAACCCCGCGGGCTACCTGGCTGTATCCCAATAGATACGCGTGACTAAAACGCCCCAAAGAAGCTCCTGTACTTCTTTGGGCGTAGGGCGTTTTGTAGCGCGTTCATACGGCCTGTAATACGCCCAGGTGTGAACCATACCCATAGGAAATAATGGGATTTCGGTGTTTGAGCGTTTTGCAGAGCGTAGGAACGCGCTACAAAACGCCCAGGTGTGAACCGGGCCTGAAGTCAAATTTAATTTTCCCCCTTCCCAATCCTGCTGTAGTGACTTACCTTGAATGACGCCTCTTAATCTGATCATCTTCTTTACTATTCTTTTCAGCTGTCCCTCCAGCGCTGGTGCGGGTCTCCGATCCAGCGCTGACTCCTCTGTCCTCCTCTTCTCTCATGTCCCACGGAGTCTGTGTGGGTGCCCGCTGCTCCATAGACTTGTGTCTCTCCTCATTTCCCAGCCGAACATCTGAACTCTGCATGCGCCCGCCCCAAGATCCTTTGCGGTCAGATGTTCGGACGGGAGCGCGTGGCGAAGACACAAGCTAAGTTTAAAGCCTTTTTAAAAGATTTATGAAAAATGTTTTTGCATATATCTACTGCTTTCTAGCAGTAGATATATGCAAAAACACGTGAGGGTTTAATAACCCTTTAAGTGTTTTCTCCAGCTTTTGTTTGTAAAACGCCTGCTTTCCCATTAGTCGGGGTAGTTCTGTAAGATGATTCTGTACTGCAATATAAAGCTGTTAACGGACATGCTGGTGTGACCGAAGAGGCTAAAATACTTCCTTTACTGGAGGAAATGTTTCTCCAGCTTCCTTTCATTGCTGCTTACAACCAAATATGTGGGCAATCTGACCTCGGTTTCACACTTCAATTAAGATCATGTGACTAAATGTCTTGGCTTTTAGTCACATGCCTGACAATTGAGCGCACCCAAACTTCATCAGTCCCTCCCCATTACTTGATTCATCCATGCAAAGTATGTCGCTTTGTTCACATTTTGCTGTTATCAAATTATATAGCCACTAAATTGGGCTCTCCAAACGTCAAGTCACCCAACTGTTTTAGTTGCCAATAGTCACACGCAGTTAATTCAAAACCGAAACCAGAATGATCAAATTATTACATATGTGAGGTTACCTGCAAAACATCATGTTGGGGAATTTGTATGCTCAGCAGCTGTTTTAACATTGTGTCTTTAGAACATAAGACTGTGTAGTTGGGTGGAATTGTTGGCTAAGGTATATCATGGCTTCCTGTTGGCACTGTAGCTACACGCTTGTGGTTAGCTGGTAGGTAGCGAAGCACTTTATATCTGCAGCTGAAAAGCATCTTATCGCTGTCAGATCTTGTGGTTCTGTGTGGGGTCTATCCGTTTTCCTGCAGAAAGCGGGTCTTTCATTGTGTTTGGAAATCTTCATTGTCTTTAACTGAGCCCACGTTAAGCAAAATACACTATGCCTTCTATTAGAGCATAGTGTTTCTATTGATTATTCTGTCATCAAGAACATAAAGGTGAGCTACAGGCAAAGTAATAGGAACTTGAAATACACGTGAAACACGCAAAAGGATCAGCTTGACAGCCCGGCAATTAGCATCTTCAGATTTAAAGCTCAGTTCTGTGGGGGGTTTTTGTTTGGTTTATTTTTTTTCCCAAGACTTCTAGCAAACCATGCGGATCAAAAATCCTTGCAAAGTTTAATAAACGTGTAATAAAACAGTTAGGGTTTGTTTTGGCTGTTACATGTGGTCACCTTCCCAATCTGGGCAAAGAATCTTCTGGTGCTTAGTGCAGGTCAGTGGGCAGACCATACCCGACTCCCCACTGTATGAAAATGTGCTTACAACAAAATGAATGCAAAATACAAACGTTTATTAAAAAAAAAAAAAGATTAAACCTTGATTTCCATTATATATATATATATATATATAAAGTGCTGTGAAAACGTAGCATTTTCTATATAGGTAATGTCTCTCCCATTGTGTTATGTATTTTCTTTAGTTGGTTTTTATATTGATCATTTACCTTTTTTTAGCTTGTCTTTTAAGAACTGATTGGAGCAAACCTAAGTGAATTGCAGTTACAGATTCCAAGTTGGTTTATATTGAGTAATCATCCTCATCCAGGTTTAACATTTTTTCTGGAGTTTGCATGTTCTCCCTGTGCTTGTGTGGCTTTCCTCCAAGTACTCCGGGTTTCCTCCCACGCTCCAAAGACATGCTGGAAGGTTAATTGGCTCCTGTCTAAAGGTGCCCATACACTGCACGATTATCGTACTAATAAACCCCCTCGACGATCAGAATATCATACGATCATTGTGCGGCGCACCCAACTTGTCTCGATAGAGGTCGATCCGATAATCGTACGACCGCACTAATAATCGTACGATTTCGATCGACCGACGGAAGTAATCACTTTTTATCAAATTGTCTCCAAAAGGAGAATGGACATGTTATTCATGTTGCATGGTTTGCGTTGCATGTGGTTCATTGCAATTATTAGGGGGTCACTTTCAGCAGCCTCATGTGTGGTGCACATGGGGAGTGGTCAGCATGTGTGTCAGCTACATGAGGAGATATGATTTTGGTGTGAGCAGTGGCTATTGCATCTGTACGCAACATGTAGCCCCAGCAATGGCCGAGCAAGTTGTCCATGTTGGTACCAGAACAGAGGTGTGGATGCTGCGAGTACAGCCAGCTGCCGTCATTCTACTTCTGATAGCTCGATCGTTTAACACATGCGCTGAACAAACAGTGCGATCATTGACGAACGATTACTCTACTCATTGAACGATTATCGTACGATTACGCACAGGTTTTCGAACATGCTAGGTAGTCAAACGTCGTACGATTGTACAGTATCCGCGGTTGCACGCTACCCAGACACTGCGCGATTATCGTACGAGAAACCGATCGCGTACGATAATCGTGCAGTGTATTGGCACCTTAAGTTGGCCCTCTATGTATGCATGTGAGATAAGGACCTTAGATTATTAACTCCTTGAGGGTAGGGACTGATGTGAATGTGCAACTTGTGCAAATTGTCGGCGCTATATAAATACCTGAAATAAAATGTGTCGAGAGAGGGAGAATTTTCATCCTGTAGACGGAATGGAAACTTAATGTAGTTCCATTTTCACAATCAAATTTGAGAATCCCCCACTATATTTATGTGGGGTTTTGAGGCAGGGCCTTATCTCCATTTATGGCCCATGCTTTGGATTAGATGGGGATCCTCATGGCACATGGATCCACCTAAAGACTAACATGTTCTTGCCGGCACTGCTAATTATTGCATTTTAGAAGTGTTACTTGTTTTTTTTCAACTCCTGTCATTGTCACTTTATATGTAGAAAATCATATAATAAAAGTATGCAGTATGCAATACAAGAATTAATTTGATTGTTGAAGCACATTGCATGGGGCATGAGACCCGTGTGTGTGCGCACGCACCAATCTGGCTCTCCAATATACTACTAGCACAGGGTTTTTTAACATTAGCATTTAGTATGTAAAAAAAAAAGCTATTACTGTATGTGCAGCCTGACTGCATGGCGTTAATAAATACCTAGACTATAACATATGTTTCACGTCTGACCATTGCCATGTTGTGCAGGTTGTCACATGCTCTGATGATAACACTGTGAGGCTTTGGCGGTTGAAGAGGAGCTGCAGCAAGAGCAACGAAGATGAGCGAGGAAACTGTGTTGGTTGGGCACGTCAGAAGATCAATTGTACTCCTATAGGCAAGTGTTTCAGATGGGCAAAGTACAAAGGAGTTGCTGTTGGACATTATTGTGCAAGGTTTCATTCATTAAACGCATCACTTTTGGTAATTTCTAACTAGCAGGCAGTTTTCCAGCTTAGAAAAGCCAAATTTTTTCCATAGACATACAGTAACTGAAATATTGCTGGATTTTATTGTTACAGCTTAAAGCCAAGTTGTCATGATCAGTCTTAGTCTGATTCTTTTGTTAATTATTTAAAGGAAAACTCCACTTTTAAAATGAATAGTCCTTTTATTAAAAATTACCTTTCCATTACACTTTCAAGCTACTGTAATTTTATAAAGCTTAAAAAAAGCAATATGGCAACCGAAGATGTTCTGTACACTTGTGTACAAAATGCACATAGAAATGTAATGTATTGCTTCTGTGTTTTTGCTTATAGACTTTCTCAGATGTCTGCACAAAGATGCAAGTAAAATTTTAGGCATCCCCCGCAACTCAAATTTCTGTTGACATAGTCCTTAAGGGTTCATTAGTCTGAAGGGATGCCGACACTGCAAATTTCATTATTATAACCCTTAAAGTGCATAAGGTGGTTGTAATGAACCCAGACCTTCCCGTTCTGGAATCGGAAAGTTTGAGTTAAAGTTTAAAGCCCACCTCCAGTCTGATGTTGGGAAAGAGTGGGGACCAGTTTGGACTTCTGTCAGGGTTCTCTCTGTTCTCTGTCCCCGTTGAGGCTTTTCTTTTGCTTTTCTGTCATGTGCACATGAAGTGACAGGGTGTCTTTCTCACGGAGAAGAGTTGGCACATGTCCGTTTTTTTTTCTTGATCTATCTGCATCTTTGAGGCCAGGTGATGGCTGTTTTCCTCATTTGACACCAGGGCAAGAAGTAAGGGAGAATCTCAGGAGGAACAGAAAAAAAAAGGCAGGGGCTCTTACTCTTTTCCCATTCATAAAACTTGGCTTCTTGTGGGTGTTTTTTAACTTGGCGTTCATTTATGATTTTTTTTTTAGAATTACTTTGTCGGAATCTGACAGTTTAGCATAGCTGCACACACACAGGAGCTGGAACACAGTTTGTGAGGTCTAGCAGTAGACATGCAAGCAATTATCCGATTTCCAGTGACCTCTGATTGCATTTGAGTGATGGATCTCATATTTTCATACTAAGTCCTAGGGATGCACCGATACTTTTCAGATACCAGTGCTGATACGTGGCATTTTCTACTAACAGGGTTGGAGCGGATGCAGCTGGGACCTGGCTCTGGCGCTCCACCACTGTCCTGAAATCATTAGTCTGTATTGTTTTAGAAAAACTCTCACATGACAATAAACAAAAATGTATCAGTACTCGTACTTGCAAAAATGGTATTGGTGCATCCCTTTATATTTATAAACAAAATCCTACAATAAAACTGATGTACAAATCCCAGGAGCTCCGTGTCCTCCTTACAAATGACAGCAGTCTCCTAACTTTTGATTTTTTTCTCTAGTCTTGTTTTGGAGCTTGAAAAGTATCTGTACTTGTACCGAGTACGGTACTTGGTATTGGTTCATCCCTACTAAGTCCCTTTTTAAAGCCACTAGGAGAACACCATTTGTTATCCCAATTCTCTAAAAACGGCAAAACCTCACAGAGGGGAATTTATCAAGACTGGAGCAGATTTGCACTGCAACCCATCAGCTTCTCTGTCTCGTTATCAAATCTTACCTGAGCAAACTGAAGAGATGCTGATTGGTTGTCATAGGCAACGGCTCCATATTATGCCTGCTCCAGTTTTGATTCCCCCCCCCCAAGCGTCTACTAACATTTACTGTTGTCTGGGGGGTTTCAGCCAGCTGGGAAAGTCTATTTTGTTTACAGGTCACTCCAATGTAAACTACAAGGGAGTAATTATGTGTAAGTGCCTTCTCCATGTGTTTGTAGGCTTGTGCAATCACAGCATGTTCTATAAATGTTTCTTCTTTTCACAGGCTCCAGAATATGTACACCTGCTAAATCGTCCCCAGTGCAAAGCCCCTGCTTTACGTCTTCTCCTACTCCAGCTGCCTGTGCTCCAAGCAACACCGGGGACCTCCCAATGTCATCCACCACTCCAACTTCTCCTTTCACGATAATTCCTAAATTGCACACACCAACAAGGCAGAAGGCTGAAGCTTCCACTTCATCTCCTAAACAGCTGTCTACTTCCAAGGTGTCCATTAAGAACTGGGTCACGCGTACTCCAAGGTCGGATATGGATTCTATGAAGACTCCATCTCCTCGAAAGGCCTTCACCCCAGTAGAGCAGTACCCCACAGCTTCTAGTTCGAAGGTGTCACCTCTGTATGAGAAGAAGGCTAAGAGACGCCTGGATACCAGCAGTGATCAAGCAGAACACAAGTGTTTTAGTGACTGTAACTGTGTGACAGAGCTGGAACCCAGACTAAAGAAGGCTAAGCTTGACCTTTGCTCTTTGGAGGAGGACAATGTAAATGCTGACAGCAGATGTCTAGGTCTGGCTGATCTCAGCAAGAAACATGAAGAGAGGTCTGATTCCCAACTCTCTATGGAGGCCCCTGGAGCACAGTCCCTTGTAGGAACATCCTGTCATTCGAGAGCCGTACAGCTCAACAAAGAAAACACAACTCCAGAGAAGAATTGGCTTTCTGCATTAGGGCACAAACTGAAATCTGACAAGTCTGTAAACCAAAACCTTACCAGTCGCCAATCACCAAAGAGTGGGAGTGCCAAAAAGGCCCCAGCAAGGACTATAATCAGTTCCCCCACGTCTGTAAGTATCGTAATATACATTATTAAAAATATTCAAGTTCTGTTTTTACTAGTGCACTAGATAATGTCCAACTCCAATCAAGATGTGTTATTTAGTTCTTGGTTGAGCAGGAAAGGGTTGGACCCTTTGTCACGTTTTATTACCATATGTGTCTGTCGGGGGGGATTTACCTTCACTTCACAACAGCAGGGACATAGACATAGAAAAGGTTTTAGCTAAAATTGAGCCTCAAGATTTAACAGTCCTCATTTCAATTTATGTATAGTTCAAATTATTATCCATACCCTCTCTTTTCACACTGTGGTTCGTTAAGTGCAATGCTATCAAAAGGTTAAAAAGAAAATACAATTCCTAATGGGAGTTTGCGCAATGGGCATATGAAATTCTGAGTACACAACTGTGGCTTCTGCATTGTGTTGGAGCCTGCTAGTATGAAGGGAGAATTTTTATGGGATAAACAAAATCATTAGCAGATTCCTTTTTAACTTTTTCTGTGTAGAAAGATGACGCATATTGCAAAAGCGAGCTGTAGAGAGGCAAACCGAATGAACGGGCTGCAATCACTCCAACTCGCACATGATTGGCTCCCATCTGTGTGACCAACACCTTTCTATATACTTAATTTTCTTCTTGCTGCCTCCCTCTTTGTTCCTAGTGACTATTACATGTAGGGATGCACTGATAAAAGTACAGCTATCGGTGCCGAGTATTTGGGTGAGTACTCATACTCGCCCAAATGGTCTGATGCCTAGCCCGATACTTCCGGTATCAAGAATCCGGGCAGCGCGTCATTACACGCTGCCCGGTGTCCTGATTGGCTGGGAAGCTAACTCCCCCATGTTCTCTCGTCACTTGTAACGAGAGAGCATGGAGCCGGCTTCCCGGCCAATCAGGAAGCCGGGCAGCGTGTAATGACGCGGTGCCCGGCTTTCTGATTGGTCAGGAAGCCGGCTTCATGCTCCCTTGTCACCTCATGACGAGGGAGCCACGTCATTACACAGCGCCAGACTTTCTGATTGGCCAGAAAGCCGGCTCCATGCACTAGGTGACGAGAAGCATGGGGGATGGCTTCCCTGCTAATTGGGAAGCCGGGTGGCAAGTCTTTACACGCTTCCCGGCTAATCAGGAAGCCAGGGGGCGAGTCATTACACGCCGCCTGGCTTCCTGAATGGGACTTTCGGTATAGGTGAGTAGCGGGAAAAAATATCGGTACTGGATACCGAAATACCGTTATCGGTGCATCCCTAATTACATGGTATCATTGCCCGATGACTAGTAGATCACGTTTCTAATGAAACTGTTCATCTCTCGATGAAATGTTTTTGCTGATTTGCCTGCAAATCTGGTAAACTACCTCGTGGTATAAAAACAACTTTTTCCTACTAGTCAAGAGGCTGGGTAAGAACTGATCATTCTTCTTAGTGGGGTGTGATCTGCCCCATTTTGTTGTCATGTGATTTTTATAGATCCTAGAAGGACAGAGTATGGCTGTGAGTGAGGCTTGTGCTTGACAGCATGTTGAATCTGGCTTTCGTTCACAGCCAGCAAAGCTTGTAGAAGCTGATGCATCACGTTGGCCTCTGTCCTGATCTGTTCCTACACAGTGGCATGACGGTGCTTGTCTGATGTGCTAATTAATCTGACTTCAGCTTTAGCAGACACTTGCCAAACAACCTTATTTTGTGTTTTCAAGTGTAAGCTGTCCTAGATGTGTCTTTTTTTAATTTTTTTATATAAACCTGCAGTGGAAGTACCTGACTTTGTATTAGCCTTTTGCATTCCCCTCTAGAGTAGACTGGTGGAGGATGAAGCGACACAAAGGGCTGGTCAGTTGTGCTACGGTGCTAATTTGCTAACAAGGAACATGCTGATGGGAGAAGAGAGCAGTGATGGAGATGAGCTCATCCGTCTGCTGCTTCTCCTTTCACTGTCCAGCCACAGTCTGGTATAAGACTTGTAAGTGTTGGACAAGCCTTACTCCCCCTACTAAAGTGTTTATTGCTGTATTCATCTCTTTTGGGAATATTACATGTGTGACTATACCAGAAAGGAGGGGAGTTATTCGGAATTGTAATACAGTCCAAAGAAAATATTTTGGACCACTTTAAAACTGCTCAGTAGCAGAGCTGTTAAGATGTCTGAATGACGTACAAGTTCCCGTTTCTGAGAGGTGTCATCTGAAGGGTAATTGGCTAGCTCATTTCTCAAAGTGACTCTCATAAAAGTACGGGGGCTGCCATTGTTGACCTTTTCCTCTGTGAATGTAAGTTCCCCTGCTGTCATGCTAATTTTCTAGCTTCAGTGCTTTGAGTCTCTGGCCTGGAACAAGTATTAAGAATTATTGGACCCATTTACAACATGCCTGTTCAGGTTCCGTGGCTCAAAAGTTTTGAAACCATATGCAACCAGGTAACTAGCATTTTCAAGAGCCAGCGCTGGTAGCCCTCGTTCTTTTGTTACAACAGTCACTTTAAGCAGGAGAGGAAGAATTGGTTAACAATTGTCGTATTTTCATGCTGCTGGAAGTAGGTAGGAGGCTTGCTAGGTATGTGCCCACCTTCACCATTGACAGCAATGACGTGCTGAGGAAGAGGAAGGACCACGTGATAAGTTTTTGCTTTCTTCCATGCATGTGTGATTATTGGTCTCATGGGCACCACATTGCTGGGAATCAGGTAAATTGCATTTGTAGTTCTATCACATGCTGAATCTCTCGGACTTTTCTCTTTCCAGGTTCCAGTCACGCCAGGATCCATAAAAAAGATTTCAACATATTTCCATAAAAAGTCTTTGGAGTAAAGCAACCACGCCGGAGGAGAAATGTCTTTTCTCAATTTCAGGAAACCTTCTTCAGCTGCATGCACAGCAAATGTTAGAAGGTTGTGGACTATATTGTGTGTTAATGTGGAGGCTACTGTACTATGGAGTGTTTGTACATGCTGCTATGCAATGCATCCTACCCACAATCCTCCTTTCTGGTTCAATCTGCTGTACAGCTAATCTGCAGTTTGATGTGCATCACTTTATTATCCATTTTGATTTGCTCCACATGTTCAGCCTTGTAAATCATCCTTTGCAGGTTTAAAGGTTCCTAAAGGGGTGAAATGTGTTTTTCACCGTAGCAGATGACTTTGTTGTGATGACATTTTACTGGGGAAATGATCACTGGCAGTTTTCTTTCCTTCAGGAGTGATGTACCTCCATTTACAGAGTTGGAAATATTTTCTAATTTGAGGAAATGATTGGAATACTTGGCATAAAGGGGGAACCTGTCATGATAGGAAAATGGGCACTTCCATGGCAGGCTTGTTTTTGAAGTGGTAAACTGCCTACTCAATCCTCTTCCAAGGTTACCTACTTGGTCACTGATCCAGAAACCGAATGTAAGACCTGGCACTTGCTCTTTCAAATACATTGTCAAGTTCTGAATCGTCCCTTTTAGGGGCCGTGTATTGGCATTAGAAGTCATTCTCGCCTCATGCAAGTCAATGGGAAGATAAAAGCAGATTGATGCAGCTTTTCAGGTCAAACACACCTGTGAATGAGCTTTCATCTCAGAAGCACCTGAAGAGCTCAAAGCAAGCTGTATGTTTGCTCATAGACACATGCCATTAAATTGTGGCAAACGTCACAATCCTCTCAGCAAATCTCATGTCTTCTCCAGTGCTTCTGGTCAGTTTTCTTTAACCATGCAATAATCCATGTTGTAGCACACAGTGTGGGTAACCCACCCTGACAGTAGGCTTCTTCATATGAATATATTCTAGATGTCAAATGGAAACTGCACAGTTGACTAGTAAGAAGAAACGGGGGTAGAGGATTCCTCGAATGTAGCACTTTTTTTAAGGGAAACCTGTACGGAGAGATATGTGGAGGTTGCCATTTCTGACCTAAAAATGTTAGTTTCCTGGCTTTCTTACTTTGGTAGTTGCCAATTAAAAGCATGCGCCAAGCAAAATCAGGGTGAAGTCAGAACTTCCTATCTAAAGGCTCTTTCCTGGTCAGGAACTGAAGACACTGGGCCAGCATCCCCAGAGGTGGGGGATTGTTAATAGTGGAGCCTTTCTTCAATGTCACTGGGTCTTCTGTTTTTTAAAGAATGTGTATTGTGGGGAAAAAAATAAATCATTATTGGATGTTTAGATTCTCCCATGGCAGTCGTGAGGCACTGAACAAATTGATATGGAAATCCAGAAGCCAGCAGGTACCAGCTCCACTGACAACTAGAGGAATCCTAGAAAATTGGGTGCCAGCTTTAACTGTTAATGAACATTGGCGCCTGGGATTTGTCCAGCCCTGACTATTGCTATAGGCATGATTGGAGGCACGGCAAATTCTAACTGCACTCTGGCTGGTCTTCTGGCATCTGCCTCACACTTTAGACATGAGATCAGCTTTTGGTATGGACACACAGGGCATCAGACTGTCTCATGCCTATAGGCAGCTGAAATGAATGAAAGGGAGACTCTGCTTGTGTTCACGACCGTTTTTTCAGACACAACTATAAAGGCCAGTTTTGTTTTTACCCGTCATTCGTTTTAAGGAAAGTCTACCTGTTCTAAGATAAATATATTGCTGCTGTTGCCAATCTCCTCCTGAAGTTGATTGCCTTGGTCTCATCTCGATGCTTCCAAGACTGTGAACTAGAACAAGCAATGCAGCCAGTGAAGTCAGAGGACACAACACCTGATATGCACACTTGTTCTGGATCATTAATTCAAAGCATTGAAATCTTTAGTTCAAGATCACAGCCAGGCAACTAGATTAAAAAGATAATCCAGCAATGGCAGCTTATGTATTTTCTGTGCACAGGTTTTCTTTAACAGAATTGCTGGTAAAATGTCTCGCCTCTTACTGTGTCTGCAAGGATAGAAGCTAAAAGTATGTCCTAGGCTTTACTTGTCGTCACTCACCCCGGTTCAACTGTTTTATTGATGTTTTTATAGGACCGTTAATGAAAGTTCCTGTTTTTATCAGAACTTTAGGGGTTTGTCGGCCTTTGGTTTTATCTGGATGTCAAGATTATTTATTGTAGTCTGTGGGCACACCAGCGGGGTGTTTGCTAATGTTTTCCTGACTTATATTTCTTAATGTTAACTGTTGTAAATACAAATATCTTATAAATACTGTCTGTGTTGTGGTTTTTGGAATAAGCATCAGCAATAATGGGCAGCATTCTGTTCAGGGCTGTAAAGGCTCTTTTAGGGCCCATTCACACCACATCCAGATCATCACCAGACCAGATTGTTTCCGGACCCAAAATGCATCCTAATGTTTCCCTATGCTATTATCTGGTCTCTGTTCACACCAGCGCAGTCTGATCCAGACCAGAAAAAAAACTGCTGGTCTCATTTTGTCTGGTCTGGAATGTACTGCGGGCAGGTTCACACCATTTTCTGGACCAGATATGGTCTGGAAAATGGTGTGAACCTGCCCTTAGGGTTTGTTCACACCATGTGATGAGCAGAACTGTTTTTGTCGTCCGCACCTGAAATGCATCAGGATGTATTCCTATGGTATTTCTGGGCTCTGTTCACCCCAGTGACATCTGTTCCTGTAGGGGGGGGGGGAAATGATGCATGCACAATTTTATTATATTTTTTTCTGGTCTGGAATGCACCAAAATGTATGTAAACGCATAAAAAGGCGAATGCACTGGACTGCACCTGAAAGCTAATTTCAAGCTAAATAAACTGCACCGGAATGCGTCAAAAAATGCACCGTTTTTGCAGATTTGGTCTGGACATGGGGTGAACAAAACCTTACTCCATCTTCTAGTGCGTTGCATTAACATGCTTTGAATTAACCCCTTGCCATCTGTGGCATTTTCCTACTATTTGCGCACACATAAAATATACATTTTTGGCTAAAAAAACAGCTTCAGACCCCCAACAATGATATTTTTTCTGGAAGCAGAGGCCCTGTAGAATGAAAAATGCTAGGTGCAATTTTTTACGTTGCACGGTTTTTGCGCAAATGTTTATCAAACCCGTATTTTTAGGAAAAAATAAACTAATTTCAAATTTAGTGCACAGAAACATAATACCCAATTTTTTGGTAAAATATAAAAGACGGGATCACGTCGGGTAAATAGACACCAAACATGTCAAGCCTTAAAATTGCGTTCGCCCATGAAGCCGCAAAAAATGTAAATATCCATTTCCCATAGTGAACATTTTAAACGCTTTTACCGCTCATCAGTTTAGTGCTAACAGTCCTTGACAGTGCTAGAATTATTGCTCTCGCTCCGATGTTCGCGGCGATATGTAACGTGTAGCGCAATTGTCGTTTTTGCACGTAGGCGCACCGATGCGTGTTTGCGTGTGTCTGTGCGTGCACGTGGGGGGTGGGGGTCTTTAATAAAAAAAAAAAATTCCATTTATGTTACTTTCATTTTTAAAACTTTTTTTTTCCACTAACCCTATTGCTATTACAAAAGGAGCTAACAAGCACCCTATCTAATAGCAGATAGGGTGTGACAGGTCCTCTTTATGGAGACATCAGGGATAATGTGACCTAGGGACACCGAAGAAGCTGAGGAAGCAGAGATCTGCTTCCCCCAGCTTCATCTCCTGGCTCTTAAGAGCCGGAGAATCTTGTAAATTAACAGCAATCGCCTGCTGTGAAGAGCGGTACCAAGAACACGGCTGCTGCAGCAGCCGTGTTCTTGTTTTAACCACTTCAAAGGGAGTATAGATGTATTGCGGCCCGGAAGTGGTTAAGGCAGCCCATTTATTTGAATGAGCAAAGTTCAACATAAAACTGAAGTCATCAACTTGTGCAACTAGATCGATTGTTTATGGATTATATATATTGATCGTATCAAAGAAGGTCCAGTTATACTGGTAATTCAGAGAAGATGTATGCACTGATCCTGCCGCCTGGTTGGTTGGATAGGGAAACATCCATGTAACAGCACTGTGAAGAAAACATAGAAAACCGGCGCACAGATCTAAGTGCAGTATAAAAGTGACTGTTTAATAAGGGTCAAAGTAATGCACTTACAGTATATTAAAAAACATCTCGCCTGTCACGCATCAGATGAAAGTCCCATCTCAGCTGCTGGTCCAAGATTGCTATCAGGATATGGAGAGAGCAGAGTCCAGTTAACTCCAGAAAGATTTGAACGGGCTGCCAGTGCTCTGGAAAGCATTTCTAATATTGTGCATGCACCAAATTACTGCGCATTGAAGTGCTCTGGGTTAACATTCAGAATACCGATGCGTATAACATGCATTTGTTATGTAAGCATTGGAAGTCCAGCCTTAGGAAAAAAAAAAAATCTCCAGGCACCTCAGCCTAAAATGTAATGGATTTTAAGGTGGAACCCCACCTGAAAACACGAAGTGTGGTTCCCCCTTTCAAAAGAGTCCTCATTACCCATTCATAACAGCCTACAGTTCTACAAGATTTTGAGGCAGCACCGAGGAAGCCAGAAGGCACCACGGGGTGCCACAGCACACTGGTTGAGAAAGGCTGGCTAAAATATATTTGATTTCTGTTCAGACACATGTGATGTGCAAATCCATGCCACACTGCATAGACAAGAGGGTGACACCAGTAACTTGCATTTCAGGGAGCCTTCAACCAGCCTTTAAATGATCAGAAGGACACATGTCACCCCTCTAATAAACATGTCCCTTTGCTTGAATTACTATACAAAGTCATATTCCTGCAAGGTTTACCGTCACACATGGAAGATACAGGTGAAACTCGAATAATTAGAATATCGTGCAAAGTTCATTTATTTCACTAATGCAACTTAAAAGGTGAAACTAATATATGAGATAGACTCATTA